TCGCCGAACATTGAAACCGCGACAGCTTGTTTCGGAATAAAGATACCGAATGCTGTTACATTCAACTTACGCAAAACACAAGCGTTTTTCCCAGCGCAAAATTCTACGAGCCAAAAAGGGAAGTCGAAAGCTGAAAAGTCAACAAATCTTTTCGCCAATCCCCGAAAGGGGGCCGACCGGATGACTTTCGGCGAAATCCCTGCTAAAACAATAGGGAAAAGGGGAAAGAAAAAAAATAGAAGTCAAGAATCGCGCAAAGCAGACAAACTTAGCAAAATATAATCACCCAGTGTTATAATACAGCTTCGCCATTCTCGAAAAGCGAACGCCAGTGTTCATATTTTTTCTACAGGAGTCTAAAAAGAGGTTTCAGCAGGAACATCGGCCGAAAGGGGGTGCCTCATGCTATACCGTATAGTTTGCACGGTCTCGGCCGAAGCTCCTTACTCACCCTTGCCCGGCTTGTTGGAGGCATGCCATGAAGCCCTTTGGCTGGACCTGCCGAAATCATAGTACCAGCAAGGATTCAAGCTAAAGACGTCAAGACCATTCAGGCGAAGCCCTATGGCGAAAGCCATAAGCGAAGATGGCGAAGGCTGGAAAGCCGCGTCGGTACTCCGAAAGTAAAGGCATCTCGGGCGAACTACAAAGACTTCGCCATGACAAGTTCGGCATCAAGGAGGCCCAACAGGCCGTCCCTGGTCTTTTAGGCCCGTTCGCCATAGACCAGGCCCAACCTATCAGCCCATTAAAGGCCCATATGTGCAAATGACACTGCGTACCCATGTAAATATCCCTTTCATAAGGGCAACCATGTAAAATCCCCTGTAACCATAAACCCTAGAAGGTGCAAGCTTGTTCTAAGGCTATAAATAGACCTCTAGGGCCATGTAATGGGGGGATCCCCAAAAAATTTTACAAATCAATACAATTGCTTTTACATTCCAACTACTGTTGGGAGAACCACGCCTTTCGACGTGGCATAGTTGTCCATTCGACAACACTTTATATTGTAGAAAATCATATTTTAAATACCGTTGATTTTTATGAATGTATGTTTTTCTGTCTTTTTTATGTACATGTATATGTTTTTTTTCTTCCAGCAAAGATTAGGAAAGTTTTGTTTTCAATTACGTACAAACACAAAAATCATATTTTAAATACCGTTGATTTTTATGAATGTATGTTTTTCTGTCTTTTATATGTACATGTATATGTTTTTTTTCTTCCAGCAAAGATTAGGAAAGTTTTGTTTTCAATTACATACAACGTTGTACGTCCAGAAAAAAAGCAGTAGCATTTGTAACATACAAACTCATACGTACATGAGGAAGTTATTATTTTTAATAATAGATCTAATCTAATAGTGTAAAATAATGGGTACACCAATTTAAGTGAAAATCAACGGTGAGATTAGATAGTGCCATGTGGCGATTTAGGAGCGTTTGTAGGAGTGCCACATGGCGGCTTAAGAGCGTTTCTAGGGAGTTTAATGGACTTTTATTATATGATAGATAGATAGATAGATAGATAGATAGATAGATATAGATAGATGGCATTTATTTTCTTTCCGTGGTAAGAGATAGGAAATAGATGTACCCATGCATATATTTTCTCTTTCCATCTGTTCATCTACAAAATGATGGATAAATCACGAACTACACCGAGTCACCAACACTCGCTTTGGTTACACTTCACGGCTTTGAGCCATGCTAGTAGTAATACAAATTGGAGTGAAAAATTATAATCTCAAAATCATCCGCATACATATATTTGAAAACAGTGTATACTCGCTGCACCATATATAAAGTGCAGTATAAAAAATAATTTGATATTTGTACATGCATGCATCCAAATATTCTTGCCCTGCAATTGCTGTGACGTATATTTTCTTTCCAATTGTAAATAAATCCATGTATGCATAGCAAGCGGCGGCATCGTGATAATTGACCATAAATCAAACAAATGCCCACTTCGGTTAAGCTTCATGGTACAGTGCCATGCTAGTAGTAATACAGGTGTGGTGAAAATTAAAATGGGCAATGCGAATTCGCTACACCAAAATCTCATGTCGCGTCGATGATACTAGCACTAAAATAAATACTCGTCTGGCTATGGCCCGCGAGTGCTGAAAAAAATTCATCAACTTATATATGCGCGCTACATATAAAAAAAATAGCGTCACAGTGCCAAAACAAGAAAGCTATATACAAGTCTACTATCATACACACAGAGACATTAAAAACCAACAAATTAATGGGTACCTAAAATACTTTGACGCCCAAAATAAAATAAAAATATGGATGAAAAGCGATGAACAATTCTACGGCTGCGACATCAGGAGCTTTAGGATAGATTTTCCTTTTTAGCTTTATAGTGGTCATGTAATTTTCTCCTTTTACGTTGGAATTCCTAATCAGGGGTTTTCTCTATGGAGATGTAATTTAACAGAATTTCTATGTAAATGTATGAATTCTGGAAGTAATGGACTCGCAATTTCCGATTTTTATTTATTTATTGAATTTAAATTAAATTGTCTCTAACGATCTGCGGATAACGGACCTACTATTACGACCGTCCCGGTTTTCCCATCGTCAGTGCGCCGTCCACAGCACCGACTGACTGATAAAATGGTTTGATCCTATATTCATTCAAAAACTGAGGGTGAGTTTCCGTGAAGTTGGGATCCACAGGTTTCAAAATATTCCCCGCCAACGCGTTCATACGGATCAATACTTGGTGAAAGTCAATTGTCACAGTTAAGCTTGACCATTTAAAGTTGGGATCCACAGGTTTCAAAATATTCCCCGCCAACGTGTTCATATGGATCAATACTTGGTGAAAGTCAATTGACACAGTTAAGCTTGACCATACGAAACGATTGTTCGTATGTCTGTTCGGACGATTTCCTGCCATAGCGTACAAGAACATCCCAAGTTTTTCTAGCGCAGACACCTCGGATGTTCCAACGAGGCCATACGAAGTGACCAACAGGTCATGTAGACTGTGTATTTGCTCCCGCGTCAAACGGAACATGGCCCTACATTGCCTTCGATTCGCCATTGTTTCCAGCATCCAACTAATACCGATTTGAACCGGTATTTGCCTTGGAGCTCTCTCGTTTATTTGAGTGTTGCAGCTAGTAAGTCGATGATGGCATCATCCTCATCGCTGCTTGTGTGCCCTCCTGTGCCTTGTGAGCCAGACGCACCGGTACTCATCGCCGAATTCTTTAAAAAATTAATAGTTGGAAAATATAAACAGTGTCACATACGAATTCGGTTAGCTCATTAAGAAAAATTTAAACATAGGAGAAATAGCTAACATTACAGTAAAAAAAACATGTAGTATTAAAACTTGATATGTCACACAAACCTGTAAGCGGCTGTGAGCTGCGCAACATCAACAGCTTGCCATTGAACTTGTGCTTGTTCTTGTGTTGGTGATGCTCCAGCAATGTCTGAGTGGTTGCCGACAACGGTGCGCCCCTCGAACACCGCGTGGTGCAGCTGAATGTGCTTGAGAGGATCATTTCAGAAGGTGCTCACGCCTTTCTTTATCTGTGACATTTAGACATGCACAAGTCAGAATGGACAGTGCGAAATGTTACAGCTGCAGCCTTAAAATTCGTATGCAACAAATTAGTAGTAGGTGTTCATGCTAAAAAATATTGCCCGGTAATAATTTTACTTTCAGCAAGTCTGTAGTCAACTTAAAAAACTTTGTGTATACTGATAACTACACATCGGTCACACAATGCTACCAAATACTAAAAATTAATAATGTACTGCAAGCATCAGCCTAATAATTTCAGTCAAACTGAACATGCTGTTGCCTATATGGCTGAAGAGAAGTGGATGTCACCCACAGACACAGGCATGGCAAGTGAGTGAAAATGGGGCTTGGCCATCATTGGCATCATTAACACAGGCATGGCAAGTGAGTGAAGATGTGCCAACAACACGCAGGTACATACTGGACAGACCACAGTAAACAAATGTCCCCAAACCTCTCATCACATCACTTTGCTACTACCAGCCTCCATAACTCTCATTCAGATGGTGGATATGGATTGCCTTTGTTAATTGTATGTCTATCTATCTACAGCTTGCTTACTTTGCCAAATGCCATGCCTAAAGCTTTACTTTGTTTGGTGACCTTTTGCTATCTGCCTGTGCCAGAGAAGCAGCATGGTTTATGCCCATCATTAGCTGCATAAACAGCTACTTGTCTGCCTTAGGTTTGGCCTGTCGCCAGCAGCCATGCAAATGATATGTGAAGATGCATTTTTATGATGCACCTCCTACAGTCCTATAGACAGTTGAAAATAGATGCTGCACCTATAGTCCTATATAGGGCAGTTCAGTTTTCTTTTGGTTTTAACCTTCCAATTAGTATATCTTATATTTTTTATAGGTGGCTTTTGGGGGTTGACCAGAAAAAGAGTAAACTGATACTTGTCAGAGCTTCGGCCATTTCACTACAAGAGATTTTATGATAGGTGACGCTTCATTTATGTCACAAACATTGAATTTTTCGTCACGTTCCGTAATCTGTGACGCTCCCGTGACGAAAATCCATTCATCACCTATCATGCGTCTCTAATGACGTTCTATAACGAAACCTTATTTTTTTCGTCATTAATCTAGTGACGATTCTTCTGTCGTCGTAAGTCTATGACGTCCATTTTCGTCGCCATCAAGCCCAAAAATCGTCATAAGATGCCATGTGGCCTGTTAAGGCCCATGTGGTGAGAAACATGATTATGGGCTTAGCCCAATGGCAAGCCCGTCTAGATTTTAGCTTGGCCCATCCATGATGTAGCATATTTTCAGCCTGTTTATGGGCTGAGCCCAATTGAGGAGGGATTTATACACTATTTCAGCCCAATTTTATTAATCCATTTACAGTAGTATAAAAAAAATGAGTGGGTCAAGCCCATTTTGAAAGACAATAAAGGCCCAAGCAATATACCCAACAACAAACATATAGCACAAAGATTGTAGCCCAGTTAATATCCAATAAAATTCAGTTGACATATGATACATTGCAAATACATATGGGTCAACCCATTCACATATTCAAATACAATCACAAGTTTGATACAAAATACATTACAAGGTAACTTTCCAAAACAAAATACATCAGTACATTGACCATGCATACCCAGATAGCAAAATAATCAAGTTCAATACATCAGTCACCATATCCAGCCATAAGTCACTGACCAAAACAAAGTCACATGTCCACATGGGCCGACCCAACCATGTCCAAATACGATCATAGGTCCACTTACCAAACACAATGTCACGTGTCGAAATCACACCAACCATACTGCCATCTCTTCGTGAATCAGCAAGACAACAAACCTTATCTCTGAAATTACATGCAAACAATTTGTAAATGCATGTTTAGTTTCAGCTGCTGAAAGAGAATTTACAATATCTAATCTAAACTACTTATTTATGTACATAGCCATGAACAAAGAATTCAAGTACACTGCAAACTACTTGAACAGATCAAAGGTAACTTATGCATAAAGTAGACCATGGAGTTATACTCATTTCTCATATAACAGTAAAAAAGAAGCGAAGCAATTTACTGATATCTTACCATGGCATGTCAATGAGATCCTGTCCTTTGCTGTGTTTCACAGTTAAAAGGAACATGGAACAATAGAATAGTATGGAACATTCTCATGGTTAAGTTTCTTTCACACTTGTCCTATAGAAAAGCAAACATTAGTAGCACAATATTTGTAACCACAACCATACAAAACTTTGAACCCCTGCATATGGCCATACAAAGCTTTGAACCCCTGCATTGCAAATTGAGGCACAGGCATAGGCATAGGCATTGCAAATTGAACATATAGTACTAGTAAGTACCTAAATAGAAAGAGAACATAGGCATAGCAAATCAAAACAATAGAGTTATACAAGCCAAGACATGTGAAACATAGCCATAGTAATGTAAGCCTACTGCAAGCAGAACCCCTCCCCCTTCCCTCTATGACAAAACAAACTGAATTGCAAACTCAATTGGCTGTGTACGTAGTGCTTTATCGACAAATTTTCAGCCATTATAACAGTAAAGTGTGGATGATAAAAAAAAATCATATATGGTGACCACATATTATGAAGCTACTATTGACTATGTTTTCGGTTCAGATTACAAGGTAGTTACATGGATCTGATTTCAGTAGAACCCAAACATGAAACCATGGCCAATTTTTTATGCTCTATTATTATATTGGATATGTGCTAGGAAGATTTCTGGGATGTGTGAAGGATTTAACTAATGTTCTGTAGTCATCATTAAGGTCATGATGCTACACAAAGCACTTCCAGCCCTATATATCTGATCACACCAACAAAATGCAGCTACACAAGTACCCAACACATAAATTATTTATATCAGAACTTAAAAGTACCCTTCTATGTAGAAGCTACCATCCCAAAGAGAATAAGAATCACCTTTGTCATAAAAGGTGAGCACATGTAATTATACAAGACCAAAAAGTTGTAATTTAAACAGAAGTGCTGAGACTATTGTTTATATAGATAGCTAGATCATTGTGCGTGCTAACCTTGGAAAAAAAAGGAATAGTTTTCACCACCCAGTTACTACCTTCTTCAGATCTCACCACCAGTTACTAAAACCCTGCAACAAACAGAACCCAGTTAGTTGAAAAAAAATAGCTAGTTGATGAAATTTGCTATTTAACAAAATGTTCTTTTCCTACACTGTCGAATCGCTTCTGAAAAGATGGGTGCAAATTTTAGTTTGTCATAAGGCTGAAAATTTGCTTACAAAACAACTCATGGTTAATGCTAAATAAATGAAAGTCATCTGTACTGACTGATGTTTTGGTAACATAAGAAAGCTTTTTTTTACTGAAATTTGAGAATTGAACTAACCTATATTGACTGAAACATACAGACAAAACTATTTCGATAAACTAACCTATATTGACTGAAATTTGATAATGACCTCTACTTGCTGAATTTGCAAAAATATAAAACCTAACTACTGTGCAGAGTTTGGTTTCTCCCTGAACTAGTGCTTTATATGCCCTACAGTATCTACTCCTACTTTGTCCAAGACAATTCTACTGCATTTACAAAACTAATATATACTTTCTGAAATTTGTTAACAGAACTAATATATACTTGCTGAAATTTACAAACTACAAAAATAACTGCTGACAAAACCAATACCCATTTTGCATACAAAACAAAAGACTGAACATGGGCATATAATTTAGTTTGTAAGTACACTTGATTGCTCTAGACCATAATTAAAAAATAAACTGATAGGAAACCTAACCTAACATAATTTGTCATATTCCTCTGATTATCTCCACCTGCACATCACACATTTCTGAAATTTTCAGTTCAGCTCGGTTCAGCATTTTGTAACAAAGAAACTAAGCATGCTCAGAGATCAGGCAAAACGATTTATATATATACTTTCTTCTGAAAGATGGATGGTTTCTGAATTCTGATGAGATTAACAAACATGGCTTCAATTTGATTACAAGTCAAGAATTATGTTTCTGTGAGGTGAGGTGAGGAATGCAAAAAATGCAAATTGCTTCTGGTGGAGAGTTAGACAGTGATAGATGTGAAGGACTTTCTCCTTTTCGGCAACAACAAACAACATATATTGCAGATCTTCAGAGCAGTACTCTGCTGCTGTGGCTGTGTCTAAATGCCTCCTATAAAGTTATACTAGTACCCATATATGCATGCACAAAAGATGCACACACACACACGCAGACAAATCCAAGTGATGACTGATGCTGATGCCTGATTCCTTGTGGTGGTTTGCACTGATGGCATTTCACTAGTTATAGCTACCTTCTCCTCCTCTCACATGACAGATCGATGCCCCAACCAACCAAACCTGCTGCAGGGGATGGTTTTAAGGCTAAGCTAAACTATGTTAACGTGCTTGCAATTACGAAGCACAGATCCATCTGATGACATGCCATATGCTTATACTACTTGTTGCCAAATCACTTTGAGTAAAGCTATAGCTGCCTTATCGTCGGCGGCACCGGATCCGCGCGGGGTGGCCGAGCCGCCCCCGCGGCCGCGGTGTTGAGGAGGGGGGAGGGTCGCCTCGTCGTCGTCGTTGTCAGCGGCGGTGAGGAGGGGATGGCGGGCCGCCGAGCCGAGGTCGCCGAGCCGCCGCCGCCGCCACCGTAGCCACTCCCTATGGCGGCGGATCCGGCCCTCCCGAGGGCGGCGCCGCCGGATCCGCCGCCCGCCGACGCCATCGCCGCTCCTGCCCGAGGTCGCCATCCGCCGCCGGCACCACCCGTGTCATCGTCGTCGTCGCCCACTCGTCAACGCCGTCGTCGGGGTCGGCGCCGCCGCCATCACCATCACCGGGGAGGAGCGGCCGCGCGCGGAGGGCAGCCCGAGCGACGGGGGCGCCGAGAGAGGAAGAGAAAGAGAGGGAGAGGAGAGAAAGAGTGAGAGAGGAAGAGAACGTGTGAGGACTGAGAAGGGGAAAATATGAGAGGGGGGGAGGGAGAAGAGGTGGAGAGATGAAATTTTTGAAGTGGCAAGGAGAGAAAATTTTCATTGAAATTTTGAATCGATTTTTATGGCACTAAATCAACTCGTATGAAAAAGTAAAAAACAAAAGTTGTATAACTTATTGATATCTACCAATTTCCTTTTGGTCATTTCTCAATCCGAGTTTGATTGAACTATATAAAATTTAAATTTTAAAATATAAGAAATTCAAATAACTTTTTGGATAGTAAATGATTTCAAATTGGAAAGTTGTCAACAACAAAGTTGTATAACTTATGAAGATCTACAACTTCTGTTTTTGTCATTTTTCTATATGACTTTGTTTGAACAGTATGAATTTGAATTTCAAATTATGATAACTTCAAACAACATTTATAAGTACTAAATGATTTCAACTGAAAAAAATCATCAATAACAAAGTGGTATAACTCATCAAGATCTATAACTTTTATTTGGGTCATTTCTTCATCCGATAAAGTGATTTGTAACATTGTTCACACAAATGTATATATCTCTTATATAGTTTACAAACTATTGGAGAGACATGTAAATTTTATGAACAATGTTACTATTACTTTGTCGGATGAAGAAATGACTAAAATAAAAGTTATAGATATTGATGAGTTATACAACTTTGTTGTTGATAACTTTTTCAGTTGAAATCATTTAGTATTTAAAAATGTTATTTAAAGTTATCATAATTTGAAATTCAAATTCAAATTATTGAAACAAAGTCATAGAGCAAAATGACAAAAATAAAAGTTATAGATATTGATGAGTTATACAACTTTGTTGTTGATGATTTTTTTCAGTTGAAATCATTTAGTATTTAAAAATATTGTTTGAAATTGTCATAATTTGAAATTCAAATTCAAATTATTGAAATAAGGTCATATAGCAAAATGACCAAAACAAAAGTTGTAGATCTTGATAAGTTATACAACTTTGTTGTTGAGAATTTTTTCATTTGAAATTATTTACTACCCGAAAATTTATTTGAATTGAGAGGAGGGAGGCAAAAAATGGACTTCTCGGCGAGGGAGTAGCAAAAGGACTGGGCCGGCAGCCCAAAGAGGGAGGAGGGGAAGGGGAAGCCGGCCCAAAGAGGGAGAGGGAGGCTGTGGGCTAAGGAGGGAGAAAGTAACACTTGGGCCGAAAAAGGCCCAACGAGAGAGAGGGAATTTAATTTGTTTTCCATTTATTTTAATAGGTTAAATGAATTTTGTGGTATTAAAATTAGTTATTGAGCCCCGAAAATTCACTGAAAATTTCATAGAATAATTTAGAACATGTAGAATATTAAAAAAATATTTCTGGCTATAATTTTTAAAGGAAAATTTTAGTTTCCTCATTGATTCACTTGATTAAATTGCTTTAACTTTTATTATATTTTTCTAAAAATGCATCATATAAATCTGTGACATTTGCTATTTATCGTTTATGACAAATTAATATTCGTCACAATGTCCCATTGAAATACTTTGTGACGATTTCTAGTTGATATTAACGACGAACACCTTTTTTTCGTCACTAAGTCACCCGTCTCATACTAATCGTCATAAAATGGAATGTGCTAATGACAAATAGCTCCGACGTCACGAGGAATTCGTCACAGAAGGTCATATTTCTTGTAGTGATTTGTTGGGCTCTATGGTTGAGTAGAAATGATATGGTTTTTGACAAATCACCATCTATTTCCTATATGCAGAAATGATATGGTTATGCAACTTTATGCCAACTATGGATGGAGATTCACAAATAGGCTGGAATAAATGTGTTCTCCTTATTTTGGCTTTTCCTATTTAAGTGTGTTCTATTTTATTTGAACTATACTATTATCTTGAGTGCTACTTTGTAATAATTGGCTGTAGCTCCTCTTGAGTAAAGGCCGGGATATTATATTCCATTATCTAAAAAAAATATATAGAACAGGTGAAAAATATGTATTATTATGTATTGCCTGGAAATCTGGAACTGCAAACTTTCCAAATCTGTACACATAAGCTAGGAGAAAGATTCCAGGCCAATGTGGTTATACACATTTAAGAGCATCAGGTGAGGTGAGTGAGAAGGTGGATCATGGTCAGTGTTAATTAAACAAACACATCGAAAGAAATAATTTAATGTAATCAGGGCAAATGCCATGGCCTACAAAGCAGGCATTAGACCATGAGGCTGTACATAAATGAATGCTCATCTAGTCAATAAAACAATCTGTCGAAATAACACATCATTTCTTTTTCACGAGAAATGATTTCAATAATTAATGCACGGCATATTATAATTGTTCAGAGATAAATGCAATGCAGAAGTTGAAAAACCAGTCCAAAAGCCGGACAAACACTAGCTTATAACCGTCGTAAAGTTATACTCTGACAAACGAGTAAAGTTATAGCCTTTCTAATTTTATTAGAGGATCGGCGTCTCAGTAAAAATGGGCAAGAAAATGCTTCAGATGGGAGGTACTTCCCCCGTTTCATAATGTAAGTCATTTTAGCATTTCCCACATTTATATTGATGTTAATGAATCTAGATAAATATATGTCTAAATTCATTAACATCAATATAAATGTGGGAAAGAAATACTAGAATGACTTACATTGTGAAACGGATGGAGTACAAAATTTGACCCGACAATGGTGTGATATGCAAATGCTCAATGGTAATACGCAAACATGTCCTAGCACAGCAGTTGTTACGAATACAAGCACAACAGTTCACACAAATACAAGCATACTATCTTAAAAACTTAACTGAAGCGTTTGCTATATTTGGTTAGCGCTAATTGCATCGAACATATTGCCTACTCCAATGATTTACATCACAAATAAACAATCCCTATTGGAAACACTAGGACATGGCTGGTATGCTACGAATTAGTGACATGTATTCACAGAGACATGCATAATAATGTACTCCGTAAATGATAAGTGACATACCCCTTCTTGCATTCTCCACCAGGCGTCGTCGGCGAGAATGGCACTCGTACGCGGATCACGACCGAGACCGGTAGCCTGCGACTCAAACCACGCCCACATGTTGAACTGCTTCCGACAGACACGCCAAATGTACTGAACCTGGGCCCTGTTCACCGTCTTCCGACACTTGGCAAACATTTTTGTAGCCAAATTGTCCCATGCGACCGGGTTGGGGTTGCGAGTGGTGATGATGTTGTGAGCCGCTATTTCCTCCAGGCAGCTTTCAAGAAACAATCGGACCTCCATGTCGGTCCAGCGGGAACGGCCATGGGACATCTACCAATCCAAGTCAAGCAAGTTTGATTCCCAAAAAAAAAAAAGGCATCAAAATTGACAAGCCGAGAACATTACCTTGCTTGAATCGGTGTCCCAATTGATTGAACGCCCAACGGTTGCAGGGCTCACTCGCCAGAGGACGGGAGCGTTGGACTATTGGAGAAGGGGCTTGAACAAGCGCTGGGCGGGGGATGCGATGGTGGAGCGCTCAATCTCTCAGCTTCTTCCGCTTCTTCCCTCGCGTACGTCTCCATCCGAGCAACCACAGCCTTGGCCTCAAATAGAGTAACGCCGCCAGCTTTGCCGCCTTGTAGCGCCGAATCTCTCCAGTCTTCACGGGATGCACCCTCCCCACGCGCGGAAAGCTGCCAGGCCGGACAGGACGCCGACGACGACGAGCACGCGGGGGCCGGCTTTTAGTTTTACAGGACGACACGGACCGGTCGATGCACGCACTGCGGGTGTGGGCTGCTCAGCTGAATCGATGGAGTACAGCACTCTTCCGGGCAAACAGCAGGCGAAGGAATTGATTCCTTGGCTCCGGCCGCCTTCGGGCTTCGATTCGACTGCTTGCCTCGACGACACCATCGCCGATGCAGGCCGCGCGGCGACAGCGCAAGCGTGGACGGAGCCCCTCGTGAGTCCTGACGGATGTGAATCCAATTTTGTCACGCCGTTAGCTCTCTCTGTGGCAACCCTGGGCCTTACTTTATCGGAATAGCTATCCATATGCTGGTATGGCTTAATCTTGCACCTTTTTTACCATAGGATGTATTTGAGATTTATGCTACGCTTAGATTTGTGTATGGCATGAGAAACAAAAACTCTTGCACGTACCAGGACTTGAATCCGTGATTTTTAACTCATCCCTTCCACTGAGCTAACTTGTTTTTATAGTTACTTACACTATAATTACGTATTAATTACATATATGATCTTAGTGTATTTACGATGTAAGTCTGAAAATTACATATGTAATTTTAGTGTATTTATGATGTATGTCTGAAAATTACATATATGTAATTTCGATTTTGCTATCGATCACTCGCGTGATTTTTTTGCTGACATTTCACGTTTTTTTTTGCAGCCTCGTCAGCCGGCGCGTTGGACACCAGCACGTCAGCCTTCGTGTCTAGCTAGCCCAAGCGCACACGATAATGGAGATTGGAGAAGCACGGTGATATGGTGGCCTCTGACCGGCGAGCCAGCCGCCGGTAGCACGGCCAACACTGATCGGCGAGAGACATCCTCCCTCTCGTCGTTATCGTGAAATATAAAATTACATTCCTATATAACTAAAATTACATTTGTAAATTTAGTTGATTTGATATGTAAGTGTACTGTAATTTTGATAAAAAATAATGTGTAAGTAAATATGTACTTATTATTTTCTTTAAAATATAAAATTACAGTCCTATATAACTAAATTTACATTTGTAAATTCAGTTGATTTGACATGTAAGTGCACTGTAATTTTGATAAAAATAATATGTCAGTAAATATATACTTATTATTTCTTTAAAATATAAAATTACAGTCCTATATAACTAAAATTAGATTTGTAATTTTAGTTGATTTAACATGTAAGTGCATTGTAATTTTGATAAAAATAATGTGTAACTAAATATGTACTTATTATTTTCTTTAAAATATAAAATTGCAGTCTTATATAACTAAAATTACATATGTAAATTTAGTTGATATGACATGTAAGTGCACTGTAATTTTGATAAAAATATTGTGTAAATAAATTTACATTAGTTATTTTATTTCAAATATAAAATTACAGTCCTGTATAACTAAAATTACATATGTAAATTTAGTTGATATTTAGTTGATATGACATGTAAGTGCATTGTAATTTTGATAAAAATATTGTGTAAGTAATTTGTATTAGTTATTTTATTTTGTAGTCCGTTGGATGCAAATCCAAGGGAAGAAAAAATCTGAGTGATTTTTTTCTCAAAAATCACCTGAGTGATGCATAGGCGGTCCCATGTAATTTTAGTATATTTACGATGTAAGTCTAAAATCTACTTGAGCCCATTTGAGCCCACGTGAGTTTTAGATTGTCAACGTGGCCCGTTTGTTTGTTTTTTGTTTTTTGTTTGTGTATATTGATGTCATCCGTTAGATGTTGATCTAAAGGGTAAGAAATATGTATGATAGGAGGCTAAAAAATCTGTCACATGATACTTTATTGCGCGGGCGCCACGGTTTTGGTTCGCACTTCGCAGCATCAGGGCAAGTTTTATTGGTCACATTTTATTCAAATCATTTACAGATTAATTTAGAGATAATATTACATCTACTTACACTACACCTAATACATTTGCTACCAATCAACTTCTCTCTTTCTCTACCAATCAACTTCTCTCTTTCTCTCCCATTTCTTGAAATTTGTATAGAGGTAGCCCTTTGCATAGTTGCATGAGGGGTGACTGCTCCTCTCTCTTTTCTTTTCTCCCCTCCACATCATCATATGAGTCTACATGGTATCTTGAAATTAGGTCATGTTTAGTTCCTACACAAAAATTTTACAACATGTCATGTCGAACATTTAAACACATGTATGAAGTATTAAATATAAGCTAAAAACTATCTAAATTACACAGATTGCGACTAATTTGCGAGACGAATCTTTTAAGCGTAATTGTTCTATAATTTGACAATGTTGCGCTACAATAAATAGTTTCTAATGACAGATTAATTAGGCTTAATAAATTCATCTCGCTGTTTATTAACGGATTGTGTAATTAGTTTTTTATTAGTGCACAAATACTCCATGCAACACCCTATATAACCCGATGCGACACGCCAAAACTTTACACCCCTGAATGTAAACACCCTCTTAGTGATAAGAGGCTTATAGTACTTGTCCTCACTGAACCACAACTATCGAATTCAGACTTAGGTCCTATTTAGATCCTACCTCAAAATTTTTTACCCAGTCACATCGAACGTTTGAACGCATGCATGAAGTATTAAATATAGGCTAAAAACAAAACTAATTGCACAGATTGCGACTAATTTGCAAGACGAATCTTTTAAGCCTAATTGCTCTATGATTTGACAATGTGGTGCTACAGTAAACATTTGCTAATGACGAGTTAATTAGGCTTAATAAATTCGTCTCGCAATTTATAGGTGGATTCTGTAATTTGTTTTGTTATTAGACTATGTTAAATACTTCAAATATGTGTCCGTATATCCGATGTGACACGCCAAAACTCTACACCCCTAGGGGCTTGTTTAGATCACCTGGCAAAATTTTACACTCTGTTACATCGAATGTTTAGACACATATATAAAGTATTAAATATAAACAGAAAAATTAATTACACAAATTGTGTGTAAATTGAGAGACGAATCTTTTAAGTCTAATTGTGCCATGATTTGACAATGTGATGCTGCAATAATCATTTGCTAATGACAGATTAATTAGACTTAATAAATTCATCTCGCGGTATATAACCAAATTCTGTAATTTATTTTGTTATTAGACTACATTTAATACTTCAAATATGTACTCATGTATCCGATGTGACCCGCGAAACCTTTACACCCTGATTTCAACAGGGCATTAAACACACCCTTAAGCAAAAACTGAGCTTTCATTGTGGTCCCGGATTGGACGGCTCCATATCCAAAGGGAATAATGTAAACCCTGCAGAAGGCAGGTGTGCCATCCCCGCATTTTCTGGTCCCACGTGGCAGCAAGCCACGTACCAGTAGCAGTGGCCACGTAGCCCACGGGTTCACACACACACACACTACACGTGTGGTTAAGCAGAGAGAAGTCCTCGGCGGGAGAAAGAAAAGAAGACGAGCTACTAGAACCACCACCGCACGCGATTCGCTTTGGCAGTGCAAAGCAGCCGAGATCACCCACCAGCAATAATGTCCGGCGCGCAAGGTGCACAGCCCAAGGGCGCCTTCACGGCGACCACGTACAGGTCGGCGGCGGCCGCGGCCACCGGCGGCGAGGAGGAGAGCCGGCACCCGCCGCCGCCGGCGAGGACGGAGCTCCGGTCGACCGAGGACGAGCGCGGGCTGCCCGTGAAGAGGCTGGAGGACAAGGTCGACGACGCCGCCGGGAAGGGCGGCCCGGTGTTCGGCGCCGGCGAGGACGACGGCAAGCCAGACCTCGGCGTCACCGGCACCGGCGGCGGCTGATATTACTGCTGCTTCTTCAGTCACCATGTGCTCCCTTGTAAAACTGTAGTAGCCTCTGTGGGTCTGTCTGTGTAGCACACGAAGTGCAAAGACTTCTTTTCTATAAACTAAAAAAGCGAAGTGCAAAGAGTTGTAACCTGTAATGCGAAGTTCAAGAGCTGGATTGGAATAACCGTAATTAAATAACATCAATTAAATTAGCACGCCATTGTAGCATCAGAAATTTAGAGTTTCAGAGGCATGGTGATGGACCAATGATTTATTCAGATGTTAAAGACAGCAAGGGCATCGCAAGGATAAAATTACTACTAGTTGTTCATAGTGTAGTTCCAGCAGCAGTATGATCGAGGAACACTCACGCGACAAGGTAAACATATCGATCGAATTAAATTGACAACAAACACTCACCCGAGACATTTTGTTTCGGCACACGTACTCAATATTTACACTGGTGTACAACAGATTGCCGTTTGTTAATCTGAAGCGAAAGAGGAGGAGCAGATATACAGGCGGTAGTAGTTCTGTAATTGCCATGAGAGGCTAGAGGAGCTTCAGCATTTTCAGCCGCTCCTCATGCTCTGGATCAAGCTTCGGTGGCGTGTAGCTGCCATGAAGATCTTCCACCACGTACTCCTGCATATATGAATGAATGCACATCTTAGAGAGATATTCTGAATATCCAAATGTTAAGGCATTTTGCTGGATCATTGTCATTAGAAGAGCACTGGTCTGAGGGAGTTCTTGCCTTTGTGAGTTCTCTTTTGGTCAAGATGTGGTAATGCCGCTGCCAGATTCTTTGGACAGCCATAGTTGCCGCGAGGAAACCGTATGCGATACCGAGGATGGCGAACACGACAACGAAAACCACCACCAGGGCAAAGCAGGCCTCCAGAGAAGCAGGCAGGCAGTCCAGGACGCCCCAACCATAGCAGCAGTTCCGGCACCCAGCTAGGCATGGGTCTTGGTTATCATTGAAGGACGAACAATGCAGTATCAACCCGAAGAATCCGAGTAGCACAAAGAAAACAACAACACCTGGAATACAAAGGGATCATCATCACAGGTAACATTAAGAGATATTCTCTCAGTAAAGTAATACGTATTCCACACCATGGATCCATCAAATGTTCATGTCATCGATCTCAACACGAGGATTCATCAGGTATAAGGAAGGATGTGATTGGTATACCTATGCAGTAATAGAATGGTATTGGATGTTTTGACAAGAAGCGATCCCAACCATCACTGAAACTGTTTCTGAAACTTCCATCCCTATCTAGAAAGTAAGAAATTGCACCAATCATAGCAATAGTCTGCAAAATAGAGATGGTCAATAAAACTATTTCTCTTACTTAAACTTGAATTTCAGAACTAAATACCCTAAAATACATCGCTATTTCTTGGAGTACATAGCTCATCCGTATAACCAAATGATATCACTACAAATAGAAAAGGTTAAGTGAAACACCAGTCAGATCAGCCTTTTATTCTACTAAATATAATGTATTAAAAGTTAAAAACAGTACGTTTGTAGCATTTAACATGTAAATTTGGGATTGAACAACAAAAATCACAGGCTTAGGTGATGGATTTTCATTGCCAAACTTATCATTTGGAAAGATGCAATTCTGGCTGCCTCAGGAGGCAGCAGAGTAAGGAGTTTGTCCAAATGTTAATGTCTATTAGGCATACAACAAGAACTGCAATGAGAACATCAATCATCAAAAATCCATAAATTTAAGCCATACTATGAACTTAATAAAATTGATATAACTGCTATAGACAGTCCAATGCTAAATAAGGGAATATCCCCTCGGGGTGGCAATATATAGCACAGAATGCAATACTACAGATTTAACATCAATTTTGTAGCAAAAATACATATTCTAAAAGTTCCATAACGACAATAGTGCTAGGAATCTAACGTCTAAAATCTTTAGTTTTGTGATAAGTTCATTACTGATTCAGTCGGGATATGACTTAAATATGTAATTCTGCAATAGTTTTGTCAAAGTACTTGTGGTTTTTGGAACTGAAAACAAATATGAAAAGTAGTGTCAAAGTGTTAATGCTTACAAGTTGTACAGCAAGAAACACAAGGATAACATCTCTTGCAACAAATATCCGGAACTTCATTTTACGCCATGAATTGTCCTCCCAAGTTTCCACTCGGAGATGGAATTGAGCTTTGCATGTTGTGCAATGTGAAAATGCAAATCCTTCCTAAAAATTAAGCATTAATAGAAAATCAGAATTGGTATTCTTTCTCCATTCAGGTTAAAACATGTTGCAAAGAAAAAAACACACCTAGAAAATTACATTTACTCAGCAAGATTATAATCACAGTGTGAATAACTGTAGTTTAGAGATCAAGCACAAATTCAACCTAGATTCTAAAAGAAGGTTGCATCCTTTCCAGTGATGATCATTGATCAAAGCCTTTAAAGTGCCATATAAGAATGCAGCCAAAACTCTAGACTGTACCCTCCAAATCAAGCTGAAAGATGGTAGCTTGGAGAGACGCAGTTTTGACTCCTAATGAATCATGGCCAGTATATCTAAAGCTGATACCGATGGCACCTTTGTGATCTCAGATCTGCCATTTGAAAACAATGGTTAAAGAAGCAAATGGCCAGGTTCTACTGCATAAGACGAGCACTGCCATTTCCTACCAGAACAAGAAAGATAGTAAAATGTAGGCTGCACTATCATTTTCAGCTGTTTGTATAGTACACAGGACCTTTCTAATAATTGCATTACTCTTCATGTAATGTAACACTTTGACAAGCCAGTCACTTCTTTATGCAAGTTTTGCTTGTTCTCTAGGTGATTCACTCCTTCATCTTCCAAGGACATGTCAACGTGCTAGTTAGTAGTTATCAATCCAATGTACATAGTGTTGGACATGGAAAGCAACACCGCATATCATGTAATTGCTTTATAAATATTCCTGAAGTGAATAATAATAAGCTAAAAATTCATACTTTTATGTGTGTTGTTACTATCAGATTTCTTAACAAAATGAAATGATGATGTAGCGGAAACATTAGAGAGCACCTTAACAGATCTCCAGTGGTCAAGGCATGAGCGGTGAACAAATTGTTGAGTTCCCTTGCACATGCAAGGTGATATCAGTTCATCACCTGTAACATGGTAAGCATGAACAAAGAAGGTTGAATTACATGACTTGTACTTATTGCAATCTAAAAACCAAATTGACATTATGTCTATTTATATCACACTCTCAACAAAATAAAAGCTCCACTCCTTACTTCCCTTCTCCTGAAATCACAGACATATTTCCCACAGAAAAAGCATTCCCAAATATTAAAACAAAGCAACCTAACTGCACAGAAAAATTAATAAAACTACTCTCTGATACATAGGATACTCACCTAACTCAGAATCAGTCTCGAGACAAATGCGGCAGCACCCTGCAGAAGAACCGTCGGTCTCCTCATCCTCAATCTCCAGCGCGCTCAAGGTTGCTGGCTTAGGCGGTGTCAGCTGCGACGATGACTCTGCCTCCTCGTTTTCCCTCTTGAGAAGAGGGTCCGAGTCATTCGTGACCATCTCTTCCTCATTCCTGTCCATCCTCATTCTTCAGTCTAATCTACAGCCAATTTAAGAACTACATCAACCAAAGAACACAAAATTCTGAAGTCACGTTGTAGGTTTAAACAGCTGCAAAGAATCAGCTTATGGAGCGAAAGAATTCTGAAGAGAGCAAAGCTTTAAAGTCAAAGTTTCCAACCAAGCTGCAAATGAATACTAGCAATTTCACCTAGAACAAAGTGAAAACGACGAACTCCATTTGTCTGTACCAGACTTGGTCTCGTGGATCATTCGCGGACCAAGTCAGAAATTTCACGATTAAGCACATAAAAGTTCGGCTGGTTCTTAGCACATGAAAAATGTGAAGCGAATACGTCGAAATTTGAGGTCTAATTGAAACTACTCCCAAAATGCACATTGAATGAAACCGTAGGGCAGCATCATCCTCATCCATGATACGATTCAAGTGCCCAATCGATAAAATCGTCGGAATTCGAGGCTCCACAACTTGAATTTTGAACAGGTTAAACATAGCCACCGTCAAATCAACCCCCAGAAATCCAGCGAAGGAACCCGCACAACTCCGGGCAGGCAAACTGCCTCCTGGGGAGGGAGAGAGAGAGAGAGAGCAACGCCGATCTCGCCACGTCGCAACGCATATGATACCAAAAAATCTCCCCTCCTCTCATCTCTCCGAGGATTCAAAGCCGATGCGTGGGGGCAAACCCTCCACTACATACAACCAAAGAACATGAATAATGGAACACGGAAAAAGATTGAGGAGAACTCACCGGGACCGCGGGACGAACCGAATCCGGGGCGTGAGGACGGAGAGGAATCCGCGAACGGCGCGCAAAACCTTCCTCCTCCTCTTCTTCTTCCTCGGGGGTGGGGGTGGGGGGGGGGGGCGCTCGCCGCCACTGGGGAGGGCGTCCTCGTCTCTTCTCGACGACGATGGATTCGAAGATTTCGGTAGGAAGCAACGCGAGAGAGAGAAAGCGAGTGGACGAGTTTTGCGAGGAGCACCTCGAAAGTAAGGAATATTACGGAGATCGGCATGGAGCCCAGCCCACGCGAAGCGATCGCCCAAACAGTTTGGGCCACATTGCCAACGGGCCGAGATTGGGCAAGGCCCAGCCCAACATGCTCCTTTCCGTCTCGACATATGCATGCGCCACGTCTTAACAAACAGTTTTCGTTTTATAAAAAAAAAGAAAGAAAGAAAGAAAAAAACGGAGGAAGCTACCCATCGGACGTCCGATGCTCTAAAAAAAATCGGATGGTCAAATGTTACAGTTGACCAACAAGTGAAACATTAAGTTATATAGGGTGAAACAAAAAAATCAGCAACTGAAATATTTAAATATTTTATGAAACATGGTGAAGATACACATTGAAACATGTCGTTGTCACTTATGAAACAATAAGTATTAACGGATTGAAACATGTGTTTTTCTTTTAACAAAATATAATCATGCGATATCTTGTTGTAAAGATTTAATTAAAACGAATACAATAGTGTGATCGGATCATGGATTGGATAAATAATTTAAGAGAAAAATCATTTTGAAGCTTGCTAAAATACATGCATGTGTGCATAGATGAGTTGGAGAGAGAATAGTAGCAAGTAGTTTTAGGAATTTTATGAAACACACTCTAGACGCACATTGAAACATATCACTATCACGTATGAAACATTTTATTTTAACGGTTTGAATCACATGTTTTTCTTTTGACATAATATAATCATATGATATCTTGTTGTAAAGATTTAATTACAACGAATACAACGAATACAACGGTGTGATCAGTTCGTAGATCGGATAAGTAATTTAGAAGAAAAAATATTTAAAGAGAGGAGGAAAGAATGAAAAGAAACAGTTACGTATGTATGATGCAGTGATATGGTTCGTCCGTAGGATAGATGAGGTGTCCGATATTTCTGTTTCTTCGGACGTTTGGTATAAAGCGTTTTCCAGAAAAAACACATGCACACAGGTAGAAAATTTCAAAGTCCAACAAACTTAGTTAGAGCAGTGGTCCCATTCATTTCTCCAACTAGAGTTGGATGAAGATAAAGATTTTCGTGGCATGCTTTTCAACCTGCTAAACGTTGCGTTTATATGAAAGTTGATCTAAATTATCATATTAATCTATTTTTTTAAGTTCGTAATAATTAAAACTCAATCAATCATACGTTAATACCATCTCATTTTGTGTAAAAAAACTTAATCTTTATCTTCATCTTCAGAAGAAAAGAACACCATCTCCGCAAAAATTCCATCTTCAATCTTTTTAAATTTCTATACTGATTTAAAACGTTATAGTGGTGTGGTCATTCTCTCATATTACCCCTACTATTAATATTAGGTCCTATGGTCTACTTCTTCTGTTTTAAATATAATAGATTTTAGGTAGAGTACATTATTACACCATCACCACCGACATAACAAATGAATCCTCTCCCGTTTCATTGTTGGCTCTCTCTAAATTACAAAATCACCAAATTATTCGACCAGACAAATTATAAAAGTACTACCTAACCAAATACTTATTTAATCAATTTAATTAAATATTTTTTTTTGGTTGTAACGTACGGACTCTCCCCTACGGAGTAGTTGATATAAAAAGCCAATAGAGAATTTACCGATATAAAAGGGCTCATTCGGAACACAGGATTGAAAAAGCATAGAAATAGGAAAAATACATGAATATGATAGGAATACAAGCGTAAAATAGAGGATCAGAAAACACAGAAATTTTATGTGGATAGTTGTTTGGATGGATCAAAGGAAAAACATAGAAATCTTATAATAAAAAAAAGGTGCACTGTAACAAAGCATCACAAACAGTGAAGTAAGCAATATTAATGAACCCAACACTTTGCTTTCATCGTGCTTTGATTGGTTGCTTGGCTTGATTTGCCTCAGTCCCACGTGAAGGGATAGAAAAAAGAGGTCAGCACGGATTGTTTTTTTTCCTGTGATCTTATAGTGAAATCGCTAGTGTAGGAAAATTTTATATGTATTTCCTGTGATCGATTCCTGTGGTCCGAATGATGCTACAGTGGCTCAATCCATAGGAACTAAAATCCTTCATTTTTCCCGTGTTTTTACTCCAATCCGAATGAGCCCTTAAATGGTTGCCTAACCAAGTAACCTTTAGAGTTGGATCCGCAAGTGTACACAAGAAAATGATATGGTTTCGGATTATTCGTTCGTCCATTGCATACTCGCATTTGAGATTTTAACTGAAGGAGTTTGACACGAGTCTTGCACTTGCTATTTGACAATACTCTACTAAGTAATGGTGTAACGGATACTGATTAAATGAAAACGAATAAAGCTACGTGATTCAACTCAATAGATAGTGATATATATATAACAGAGTAAACAGTAGGGTTTTTTTTTTTCCATCAGAGATACTAGATGCAGACATATACCAAATTTCACATGAAACACATGGGTACCTCTACCAAGTTATTGATAAACTTGGTGTGTACTCCCTCCGTTTTACAATGTAAGTCATTCTAGCATTTCGCATATTCTTATTAAATATGTGAAATGTACATTGTGAAACAGAGGAAGTAATAGACATGATGATTTACTATTTGACATCCTCCATACAACATATGCCCAAATACCACTTTTCTGGAATTTTTTTCCCCATTCACCACTGAAACTCATGTGTACCGTCATTTTCACTATTCTCATTAACGTGATGTCGCTTTTACGTTTTCCTTTGTCTGGCATTTGCATGATTCATTTGAGATAATGATAAATATCATTTTTTTTTCTACAGTAGGTTAGTCCTCTTCTCTTGCCAAAGGTTTACTCCCTCCGTCCCATAAAAACCAAGCTAGCATTGAATGTGACCGTCACATAAAAACCAAGCTAGCATTGAATGTGACACATTATAGTACTACGAATTTGGACATACTTATGTCCAGATTTATTGTTTTTTTTTTGGAGCTAGGGCATGAAGCCCCCATTTCTTTTACTAGAAATGAGATCAAGTCAGATTACAAGAGTACCAAATAGCAAACGGAAAAAACTAAAACATCTGAGGGAGGACATCCGACCCTTATGCAAAAGACCATAGCTAGATTGTCTATTACAGAACTATCTTTGCTCATTCCATCCACACAAAAAACTCAGTAAACATTCCCTCCTCTGAGTTATGACCCAATCCTTCGAACGCCTCCTCTCCAGCCGAGCTTCGAGTTGTAGACTTCATTTACCACTTGTTTTAGCAACCTGGCCCCCAATTGAAGATTTCTTCGACTTCCCTCCTGCTTCTGCAAAGTTGCCCACGAGTCCACCAAAGAGCAAGCCATAAACACCAGATCAGTAGGATCAGCTGGGAGTTTTTTTTCAAAACAAGCTTTATTACGAAATTTTCATATTGTCCATATTGTTGCCGCAAGACCCACTACCACAAGTTTTTTTTGTAAATTTATCAATCTTGTTCATCCAAGATCCAAACAAGTCTTGTCTATTCAACACAGGATTTATATTAAGAGCAAATTTCACAATATTCCATAACAGTCTAGCTAAAGGGCAATCAAAAAAGAGGTGTTGTAAAGTTTCTGTTTGATCACAGAATTGGCAATTAGACTTCCCTTTTCTCCAGCCCCTCTTGAAAAGATTGTCTTTTGTGAGAATCTTGTTTTTTGTAAACAGCCAAATAAAAATTTTGATTTTCAAAGGCACTTTGAAACCCCATAACTTTTTATGCGGGAAAACCACCTGTTGCATCTTCAGAGCTTTGTAAAAGGAATTAACAGTGAATTTCCCATCCTTGGTCAAACTCCACCGAAGTGTATCTTTGGTTCCATCTTCCAGAATCAAATTACCCCAGAATTGCTTAATTTACAGCCAATTCCTCAGTTTATTCCCCAGGACATCCCTTCTGAATTTAATAGAGTCAATCCCCCCTTGTTTCACATCTGCCACAGTAATCTTTTTTGTCAAAGTAATATTGTACAGATCAGGGAACTGTTCAGCCAAAGGTTTACCTCCTATCCAATTATCTTCCCAAAACAAAGTATTCCTTCCATTGCCTACTACTTTGGTACAGAATTTATAAAACACTTCTCTCACATCCATAATTCCTTGCCAGAAATGAGAGGCTCCAGGTTTCACTTTCAAACCTGACAAAACTTTGTTGTGACAATACTTTTTTATGAGAATATCCTGCCACCAACCCCTCTCATTTTCCAATCTCCATATCCATTTTCCCAACATAGCGCAGTTCATAATCTCTAGATCCAAAATTCCCAAACCTCCCTGGTCCCTAGGTGAACAAACCAAAGGCCAATTAACCAGATGATATTTTCTTATTCTCTGATCCTCCTGCCATAAAAATCTTCTTCTGAAATAATCCAATCTTTCTTTGACCCCTTTTGGCAATTTGTATAAAGAGATCATATACATAGGTGTATTGCTTAGGCTTGAGTTGATCAAAATCAACCTCCCTCCAATAGATTGGAGTTTGCCCTGCCAACATCCTAATTTGTGTTCCATTTTGTTCTGTCCCCTTCCAATCTTTGTTCAGAAGTCTTTTCTCATCAATAGGAATTCCTAAATATTTCAGTGGTAAGTTGCCTATCTCACAAGTAAAAATACCACTGTAAAGCTCCTGTTTGCCTTTGGCCTCTCCAAAGCAGAAATTTTCACTTTTATTGAAATTTATCCTCAATCCAGAAAGTTGTTCAAACAAACAGAGAATGTACTTCAGATTTTTTGCTTGCTCCAAGTTATCATTCAGTAAAAAGATAGTATCATTCAGTAATACTAAATATTTTCATGCTAAAGCCAATGGCAGAAAGAGGAAAGGGCAGATTCACTACCTGAGACACGAGGAGGAAGAAATTGAAGGACAGAGTAATCTGCTGACATACATAACCAATTTTTACAAAAATCTTTTTGGTCACTCAAAGACAATTTCAATATCTCTCACCATGAATGATGTAGTTAAGGTTTCTGAGGAGGACAAAGCAGATTTGACAAAAAGTTTTACTCTAGAAGAACTCAAAACAATGGTCTTCGGTCTCAAAAAAAATAAAGCACCAGGTCCAGATGGAATACCTGGCGAGTTTTACATACACTTTTGGGACCTGATCAAACATGATCTGCTGGGATTGGTAAATGATTTTCATAAAGGGCTGATAGACATTGATAGACTGAACTTTGGTGTGATTACCTTGATTCCAAAAACAAAAGATGCTACTCAAATTCAGAAATTTCGTCCCATTTGTCTTTTAAATGTAAGCTTTAAAATCATTACTAAGATGTTGATGAATAGACTGAATGAGGTAATGGCTTATATTATTTCTAAACAACAAACAGCTTTTTTATAGAATCGTTTTATTATGGAAGGAATTGTCATTCTTCATGAAGTTCTTAATACAGTGCACCAAAAAAAGAAGAGTGAGATTCTTTTTAAGGTTGATTTCGAAAAGGCTTATGACAAAGTGAACTGGGTCTTTATTTATAGAATGCTGAAAGCCAAAGGTTTCCCTGATTTGTGGTGTGATTGGACAATGAAAGTGATTATGGGAGGCAAAGTGGCTGTCAAAGTGAATGATCAAATTGGACCATATTTTAAAACTCATCAGGGTTTGAGACAAGGAGATCCCCTCTCTCCCCTGTTGTTTAATTTGGCAGCAGAAGCTCTAACTTTGTTAGTGCAAAGGGCAGAAAGGAATTCTCTAATTGAGGGTTTTGTAGTTAATGGAGCAGATTTATTTTACTAGAATAGATAATCATATCTAGTACTAGATTTGTTTTTTTAGACGAAGGGAGTAGTCCGTGACGTGACACGAGCGTCACAGGCAGACGCGTGCTTGGGTTGGGATTTGGGAGTAGGTTTTCTATGCATACAGCGGCAGCAGCGTGACGGCCACGCGGCCGGTGTAATCAGAATCTCCGGTGAACTTCGCCGACGACGGCCAGCCCACGCGGTGAACATGACCTAGCTTACCCAATTGTCAACTGGAGCTAACCAATCTTGACCGTGACCGAATATTAATTACTCGTACTTGATCCGTTGCGTGTTATAAATCGTTTCGAGTCTTTCTCTAGTTGACCAAATTTATAAAAAAAATTAACAATATATAAAATATTAAATTAGTTTTATTTAATCTAACATTAAATATATTTTAACAATATGTTTATTTTGTGTTGAAAATACTACTAATATATATTTATTAAAGAAAAAATCAGACTTATAGAATAAAACGGAGAGAGTAGGATTTTTTAGGGTTCATTTGGAGAGGGAATTAACCTGAGCCACTTGGTGGACTAGCTTTGTTTGGATCGGATTGCATCCGCACGCACGCGCATCTGCCTGGCCACTTAGCCCGTGTGACCCATTTTTCGTTGGTACCAACGCGCGAGCTTGCCTGACCTGACCTTACCTGATCCCGGCTGGTTGAAATGCCTGAGCAATTTTTTTTCTCGGACTAGCCAAGCGCCAGTGAGGTGTAGTAACGGAACATGCGATTAGCTAAAAAAAAAAACTGTGGAGTGTTTTTCGAGGGGAAAACTTTTAAACCTAAGTACAGTATATAATTTCACTAGAACTATATATTATAATAATAATAACTTGTATATATGTATTAAAATAATATATACAACTTTATATCTAATTTATATAGAGATAACAATATAGTTATAGTTTAGTTACACTGTAGTTATATTGTAATTACAATGTAACTACAGTGTAACTATAATGTAACTAGGGTGTAACTGGAGTATAACTAAGTGTAACTTGCAAACTTTTTAAAAAACATGGCATGAGATGAAGTGGCTACCATACATAGCTAGTGGGATTGAGGTCCTGGGTTCGAACCCCATGCAGCACACAAATTTAGTTATCGTGCGGATTTTTTTGCACGAACACGCCAGCACTAATCTTGAGGCGAATCCGACGGTCAAAAATTCAACAGTTTTAATCTAACGCGCCAGCACTAATCTTGAGACGAATCCGACGGTCAAAAATTCGACAGTTTTAATCTTGAGGCGAATCCGACGGTCAAAAATTCGACAGTTTTTCCCCCGTTTCGACAGTTTTTCCCCTTGTTTACTGTCGACAGTAAACTAGCAAATCCAATGGAACATAATGCACCAGAACAAATAGATATGCGGGATTCACCATCACCGTTAGTCTTTTTTTTATTATATCTCTACTACTTTAAAATTCTGTAGTGGTGATGGTGACTCCAACCCTGACAGACAAACAAGCGGAGTATGAGCCGTCGGATCGCTAAATCCAACGGCGCAACGATCCCCACCCAACTCCCCGGCTCATCCCTCACGCATCGGGGGATCGCGCCCGCATCCACCGCATCCATCGCATCCGCCGCCGTCGCCTTCGATCCTCCCCGCCATCGCCGTCCTCCCCACCTCGTCGCCGACCCAGTGCCGCCATCGCCTTCCTCCCCCACCGCGTCAATCATCGCCGTCCTCCCCCACCGCGTCGCCGACCCAGCGCCGCCATCGCCGTCCTCCCCCACCGCGTCGCCGACCTAGCTCCTCGCCTCATCCCTCCTACACCAGCTCCCTCCCCCACTGCTGTCCTCGCCACCGCCATCGCCGTCCTCCCCCACCACGTCGCCGACCCAGCGCTCCTCTCCGTCGATCTCCACCACGGTCCCTTTCGCGCCACACCGGAAGCTGCCCGCCAGTCCTCCGGTCGTCGCTGGTTGCTGTCGGCAGGTGGATGCAGTACTCTGGTCGCCCGTCTCCCCTCCATCACCGAGTGACATTCCCATCTACAAAAGGTAAACAAAATTTCTTATATGGCGTTCGATTGTTAGACATCCCCCATCTAGAAAAGTTACAAATCAACTAAAGTTCATAAATTTGTTGAGCAAATGTCCAGAAACCAATTCACTTTTCAAAGTGATTTTAGCACTGTACTGCTTTGTTCGAGCTGTAATCAAAACGTATGTGAAAGTATCAGTTGGACAGTTTCGTTTTAAGTAAAAGAAACAGTTTCCTGTTGAAGGTATATCTACAATGTGTATCTGATTTGTGGACATTATCTGTTTTCTCCCTTTTCGTCTCGCTGCTTCGTACTGTTGCTATGTTGTGAAATGATTTCTGTAGAAGTTTAACTTAACTCTGATTTAAGTTAACTTACGCGGAAGCGTGCTAGGGAGCGATATGCTGCTCTTAGCGCTGACGACAAGAAATTAATCTTAGTGCTGACGACAAGGAAGCTAGGCTTCAAAAGATGCGAGAGTATCGATCCTGTACCTACCCATGGTATTTAAATTATTATCTCACAAACGGCATAGATCTGAAGTGAAATCTTGCCACTGGACACAAGCTCACTCTTCTTCAGGACGTCAGGTTCCTTCATCACCCGGGTACTCTTCCCTACTGTGAAAGTAAGACCAGTTTCTTCTGTTTGTCCTGTTTTTACTTGATTAATTTCTGCGATATCAATTTTTTAACATGCAATGGAAATATTGTTGATCTATGTTGTGTCTGTCAATTTATTGATCTGTGATGCCGCATTTACATGTGGTGCACACTCATCACTACAACGACTTCTCCTATGGTATTAACATACTGTTTCTCTGTTTGGTCATGATCCTGGTAGTTGTTTTACTGGCTAGGTGCTCACATTAGACATAAAATTTTGGATGTGATTATATATATACTTCCTCATGGTAAGTGTCTCATGTTAAGTTCTGATGATCAACGTAATTGCTGATGGGAATTCATGGTGATAAACCACACCTGAATTCTATAAATGTGAGAGAAGACCTCCACTCAATGAAATTTAGTCAATATGCGAGCAAAAAATACACTAATCCCTGATTCATATGCTGTTGAGCCTGTCCTGGTAATTGGGTGGTCACCGCCACCACTAATCCCTGATTCATACACGAATCTGTTGCATTGCATTGTGATGGGTGCCTGGATATTTCCCCGATTCGTCATGCTGTTAATTGTTAGCTTCATATGCTGTTGAGCCTGTCATGGTTGTGTATCTGTGATTTTTTCACTTTGATGCGAAACGGTTTTTCTGATGTTTGCACGTTTCTTTCCCTAGGAGGATGATATGCTTCCTACTCAAATCGCTATTCAGTTGACTAATGAGTATGAATTTTTCCCGCTTCTCATTTAAATTGACAGTCTTCTTGATTTAATAACCATATTTTACACTTTCTCCTTTCAATAGCTGGAATATTATAGCGGCACCATTCATAAATGACATTATCCTATTCGGGACATTTCTGTCTGTAAGTGCTAAGTTGACAGGTGAATGCAAAGTTCAATTCAGTGCAGTGAAGAACCTGCCAACAGATCAAGGGCGAGGGCAGGGGAAGGGTGCTGCAGCGCTTCAACACATTAGCGCTTCCAGGTAAAATTTGTTGCTTTTTATTCTGTAATTGCACCTTTTGTTTTTCATAGGAAAAAAAATCAGTGTTTTCCTTTCATGAACTGGATTGTGCCATCTTATAGTGTTTGTGTAATAAGCATTCTTATATTTGGACCAAAATATGCAGTGATGTGTTCATCTGTGCACTGTAGTATATCATTATCAGATCTTCCTTCAAAGTAGATGGAAGCTATCTGTGCAGATAGGTTGACAAAAAAAATGCATGCCCATGTTCAGATTTCAGAATCAATACACGTGCAAGTTTCAGATTATTAAAGTTCAGAATGATTTATGCATGACATCACACATTACTAGCTTAATTTATCTCAAAACGCAGGCCTGCACAAGTCCAAGTTTTAGCTCCAAACTATCAAACTGGAAAATTTTCAAATTCATGTGTCTGTCAAAACATAGGCCTGCACAATACATTCCTTTTATTTTAAATGTTCCAATAATTGCTTTAAGATGACAAATTTTGGTTCTCTTGGTGTTATAGATATGCTGTGTTCTGACCAGTAAATTGATGTCAAAAGATCGAAGGTATTAGAATTTCATGTCTTTATAGATGTGTTGAGTGATCAACTTGACCAGTAAAGCAGATATTACTGAAGAACTATCGTGCTTCCAAAGTTCTTCATGTGGCTTCTCATGTCATTTCATTTGGGCAGGCTCTAGATCACTCTAGCGTGTGGCCTTGGTGTACTAGCCACTTGCCAGGAAAAGGAGTGTGGGAGTGGGAGCTTATGGCACGAGCTGGAGACATGGAGAGAGATTAGCAGGTTCATTAGAAGTGAAATTGTAGCAGAGATTTCTTGATGGAAATTTGACATTGATCAGAACTATTTGTATGCAAATTATGTGGCAGCATTTTTCTCAGTTTACATATAAGCTTTTGTTAACATTCTCGTCTATATAGAAGCTTGCATGGTCCATAACACAAAGGGTAGCATTTTTCTCAGTTCAATAGAAATTTTAGTGGTTTTGTCTTCACCTCTTTAAAGCCAAAGAAAAAATAATTTCCTTCTGGTGGTGAAATCCCATCTTTTTTTTGGGCTCTAAGTGAATAAATGCTTCTTGAAATCATGAAAATTGAACAATGAACTAATGGTTATTGTTATTTTATTTTTTTACCCGTTGCAACGCACGGGCACCCTACTAGTACAGTAAAGAGTGCATAGATGACATGTACATCCGAAAAGAAGGACCTGGATGACATGTGCTCAAAACTATCCATAAGGCAACTGTCCGAGAGTTGACAAGTAACAACCTACCTCAGGTGAGGGGGCAGGTCCGAAACAGTTGCCCGAAAGTTGACATGTGCCAGCGCAAGCAGCACAGAACTATCCACAGTACGGCTTCTCGATGACTAATCCTTGGTTGCACTTAGAGCATCCATGTTGCCTAGCACATGTCACACTTTTAGGACATAAGCGGAGGAGAACCCGAGAGTCTCTTGCAAGGGACAAGATGGATCCCTTACTAGCATACTTTTGTTTTTAATGGACTAGGCAGTTCAATGAAGTAGGACGATAACTGCGATATGAAGTGATGATCACAATATTCTCCCACCTATCTACCCATGGGTTAGGTAAAATCTGAATAGCATGTATCCCTCCGTCCTAAAAAAAAAGTCTAATTCTAGCTACGAACCATGACAGGTTCATAGCCAGAGTTTGGCTTTTTTTAGGATAGACTAGTAAGCAGTAGGAAGTTACCCGATGACAATGTTGAATTTTTTTTTATCCTGGACACACGAGATTAAGAGACTTTAATGTATGTTTTTCCGCTTGATAATCCAGAAATTGCAATAGTTGAGTCGTTACGAGACACCAGTTATTCAATTTTAAGCAGTAAAACTGCATGAGATTATAGCCATAAACCCTCGTAGCAGAACACCATGTTCCTCGGATTTAGGTTTATTAGGCATAACCCATAGATAGCACTCTCCATTGAAGGAAGTGAAAAGCAATTATGGGCTATGGCTGCTTTATGCAGTACGGTCACTGTAATTATAACATATCTGATACAACCTTTTGTTATTATCATCAACTATTTATTTATTATTTTAATAGATTATGTAACATCCTAATACCGGTTATCTTTCATAGAAAAACAACCAACTCAATGGCAATTGGCGGTGACAAATTTAATGTACAATTAAAATAGACGTTCATTAATCGTAACGAGTAATTTAATACATACAAATAAAATTATTTTCTCTAGTTATAAAACACGTGCATTTTTTTTAGAAAGGCACGCGATGTCTCATATATGATATTTATCAAGGAAAACAGTATACGAAAGAACAACTTGGCACAATTAATCCTGTAAAAAAAAAGGAAATTTACGCTGGAAACCTTTATGATCATCTTCTTCCTTCCATCGTTATTTTCGCGAGTACAGTGCATTTATGTAATATCCGTGGAGGAACTATAGTTCAACCTATAGTAAAAACTGCGAATTTATGATCTTGCACTACTACGAGACCTCTCATAAATAGTGGCTCATAAGTGCCGACTCATTTAAAACCGGTACTTATAGATTTTTTCCCACCTCCACACAATGAAAAATTATAGAATCGACATCTTTGAGCACTATAGGTATCGGTTCTTAAGAAAAAAAACAGACACCAATAATATAGGTACCAGTTTTTAAAAAGAACCAGCACCTATAATATATTTTAGATACCGATGGTAGGAACAAGCAGAAAAAACCAAGCTAACTAAAGGGGAGTGAATGGTTCTGGTACCAAAAACCAAAACTTTTAGCGGAATTAAAAATTACCCTCAATTTGATGGCGATCAGTCTGACCGGAGTGGATGTGCCGGTTTGACCTCTCGAAGATTTCCGGTCTAACCGGTGTAGTTGTTCCAGTCTAACCTCTCAACGTGTCGTTGTTGTCTGTCGCCGCCGCCGGTCTAACCACCGTGCTCCTGCCAAAAATCTCGACTAAACTTGAAACGCTAACTTTCTTTTAAACTCAACTTTCTCAAAATCGATACCAGAAGGCCACACCCTCCCTCTCTATTTATACCCGTGGTAGACAGCCTAAAGCCACGAACCAACATTATGCAAAAAGTCCTAATCACCTAGGAAACCTTCCCATACAAAAAACAAACTTCAATTGTATCAAATTTGGACTCCTTCCAAATTCGACTATGCATCCCATACGCACACAATATCTCCATTGTATGCCATATAAAATCCTCTCCAACCACATACATAGATCTTTAGTCTGAGGTTCCCACATAATATCCTGATTGTCCGGGCATCATCTTCTCCCAAGTTAACTCCTAATCCATCATCGGCAACGCTCTTTCAAGGCATCAAGACTCACATACACATGCATCAACCAAGAAACCATATCCGAGCACAAGTTCTCACCAACTCGACTCATTGTTAACACACAACAGTATTACATACTTATAGTATCTATCTAGAAGTCATAAACATGAATTATCTACGGATATCCAAAGAAAAAACCCAAAATCGACACAGTGTCGGCCGATTAGATCGCGGACTGGCCAGTCTGATCGACAACACCTACCCCGGTCTGACTAGTCCAAACCTTGTCAGCAACAATCCCTGTTCATCATCTGAAAATCCCAATAATCTCTAAAACCACTTTGCCAATAATCTCCAAATATCAAAACCAATAATCTCATATGCCAATTATTCATAAGAAAATAAAACCAAACACACTATGGTGTTACACCGGTTAATTAAAAAATACATTTATAATATATTATAGGTACTAGCTTTTCAATTAATCGGTACCCATGAAAATTGATCGGCCGAGTCACATCCTTATCCACATCTTCCCCCACCTTATCCACATCTCTCCTCTTCCTCTCCTCCTTCACCCACCCACCCACCACCCAACCGCGCCTCTTCTCCTATGTTTTCTCCTCCTCCTAGTCTCATCAACGTCACACCTCCTCCTCATCTTGCTCCTCCCTCTCTGTCCATAGCCACTTCCGCTCCTCCTCTCCCCGACGATGCCGCTTCTCCTCCTCGCCGTGTCGCGCCGGATCCGGACACCTGGAGGCACCGGATCCGGTCACCACGCGGTAGCAGCACCGCAGGAAGGACCTATCAATGCAGAACTCATGTACGATGCCTGGGGCGATGAGGTCAACGAGGACGGTGCCGGTGTCAGAGCCGACGCCGAGGATGGATGAGCAGCGTGCGGATAAGGGAGGAGTTGCGTGCCCTGACGCGGTACCGTCCCAGCGGTGGTGCAGGCTGGGGCGGCAACAGCAGATGGTGAGCACATGCTCCCCTGGGGCCCGAGCCGTGGCGTGGACCATGGCAGTTGTCCGTGGTTGCCTTGATCCGGTGACGGTGGCGGTGGTGGAGAAGGCTCATGCAGAGGGCGCGGTGGCAGCCGACGGTCGGGAAGTGGTAGAGGTGAAGGCTACGATGGCTCATCAAGCTCTTCTTTTTTTTTTATTTATTGAATACTATAAGTGTGGTTATAGGATAAGAACCAGCACCTATAATTTTTTAAGATGCCAGCTCCAAAAGTCCATAAATTGGTGCCAGCTAGGAACTAACACCAATGGCCAGTTTTCCCAACCGGCTTCTATAGATGTTTATGTACAGTGTCGGTGGCAAAATTATGATGATGTCGCTCCAGTTTCTGTTTTGACCATGCAAATTCAAAATATCTACTACTTCGGACGACGACTAAACAGTAGCATGCCTGCCACTCATGTGTCTAAACATTCTAGAAAATGTCAGCATCTAGGATCAGTAATCAAAGTATACTAACTAATTATATAGTTAAAAATGTGCCATATAAGTGCATTCAGGACCGTTTTTCTTCTCCCCAGAAATGTCTAGCTAAGAACATGGTAAACTAAGTGGGTATGAGGGTATCATCAACCTCTCTTGTTATATTGCTTGTCAATGTTCAGGAGAAATGGCAGTCGAAATCCTTGAATAAACCCATGCCTCTCTCCCACTTGTTTTTTGATTTCTTCCATCACAATTCACACACTGCCAAATCAAGCAGTCAGAAGGAGGAGAGGTAGGTAATTTCCTGGAAGAATTCTTTGACAAGTCTGGGTGACTTTTGACTGATTGCATGCGTGCTGTTTTGTTTTGGTTGAATGATTCAGGCCACATTCTAGAAGATTATTAACAAGCCTTGCTAATCAGATCGTTAGCCCTTTTGACAAATTGCAGGAAGATTCTCGTTTGTGGGTGATGATGTGTATGCAACTGCATGCAGAATCGTTAATTCCAAGCACACATATATAATCACATCCGTAAAAAAGTTCAGATAACTCGCACGCTCTACACGGTAAAAGTTGAGATAACACTCTGCTTAGCTCTTTAAAAAAACATTCTGCTTAGCTAATGGGAATAGGAATAAATATCTCTCACCCATAAAAGATAACTTTTTACTCATTTGCCATCATTCCTCTTATCCCACAATATGAACAAAAAATAATCCCTTATTTTAGACGTGAGTATGAATAAAAAAAATAAGTGTCTATGCAGCTGGTAAACTTTTTTCTACTTTCGTGAAGCCACTTAAAACAGGGGATGCATTATTTGTACGTGTGTGAGTACGACATTACACATGTATCTTTGAAAAACAGGGGATGCATTTTTAGGTGTGTGAGTATGGCTTCGACCGTCCATCTGTTGGTTTCTGGGATAATATCTTGTGTTGGCTTCACAATCTGGCGATGATCTTTCATCTTTGAGCAAATCCCGAACACGAACTACCGCATGTTTATCTCTAGTAAAAAAATTGATTCGATGCAATCATCAGAAAAGGACCTGCTAGGAAAAATATAGCAATGATGCTTAATTTCCCCTTATTCTACGAACATACCCGTGAAAAAAAAACAAATTTCCTATATATTTATCGACAAATTTTCTCATAAA